ACTGTATGTTAAATAGGGCAGATACATTACTTGATGTTGTGATAGCTGGCATACAATTTACTTGTCACATGCAGCACCCATTAGTACTCATCTATTTGACCACCAACTGCCCTACAGGCATAGCAGCTTTGACATGACAGCACACTTACAATTCATGTAAACATCCAGGTTCTTTCTCCAAGTGTTTTTTTCAGTTTTATCCTCTACCTCCTTGTTAACAAACTACCATAGTGTACCAAAACAAATTTGCCAGCTTTAAAGTGCCACAAAAACCTTTGTTATTTTTCAGAGAAAGACCAAAGAGACTTAATCTGTCCACACATGCAGCTCAAGAGAAATAAACTTGCAAAAAAACAAGAATATGCTGACATCCAGATAATGGCAACATTAAAGTGGAAAAGAAAGTGTTTTATCTTGTGCACATATTTAATAGCGAAATCCCTTACTTTTCTACTCAGAAATAAGTCATACTGAGATTAATGGAACTTTCTCACAAATATATTTATGTAGCATTGCAACATTAGAAAAGTTAATTTGATCTAATTCCTGCATTAAAAAATGAAGGAATAATTCATATTATTTCTCTGTGAGGGAAAGACAGAAAGTAAGGAATCAGGGAAATGGTGAATTAGCTTGACTGAGAGAATTGACAGGCAGAGAGAAAAAAAGAATGGGCAGATTGGCTGAAATGATTAGTTAGCTAACAAAAGGAAAATCAACATATTGAAAATTATTTGAATGGGACTTGATTGGGGCCAGAATCTGGGGAGATAATGAGTATATAAGGGAAAATGATTTCACTGAGAATTTGTATAGAGAATTGTATATTCTCTAAAATGTATATTTTGGAAACTAAATTAATTTTATAGGAATTTATTTAATAATGATTTGGGGAAATCAACTGAATTACCTTTCGATGAAATTAATGACACAGGAGAAAAATTAATGTTACAGGAGAAAACTGTAGATAAAAATAACGTTTTGTGTTTTTGAGACTGAGCATTTCTGCTTTTTACTTAGTTTCTTTATAAGTTACTTGTTTTATCCTCACCAACTTGTCTTCAGTTAAATGGCGGCTGTGCTATATGGAGCAAAGTGCTTGCCTTGACATTTTTGGGCAAAACCCTTCCCTCTTCCTTATTCTATATGACAAATTACTTTGGTTATTTTGCCTTCACCAGTCAGCTTTTTATAAAATGGATGTTTCACAACTATAGAAACTATTTTATGAAACTGTTCACAACATTTTCTTAAAATGCCAGATGTACCAGTTGGTCCCTAAAGGTTTGGAACACTTGATTACATACTTTGTTCTACAGAAAGGAGGGGAGTGGGAATAGAAAAACTGGAAGGTTGCAAAGCCTATAATGATATTTCTTCATTATATATCCAGTGCATTTATCTCTCCTAATAAGAATATTTATCATGTTTTTTCTATAATGAATGATACTGGTTTGGTTCCAAGATTACTAGCTTGTACCAAAAATTTATTTCTATGCTAAAAAAAAAAACACACCCTTACAACAAACTTTTAATTACTGTACCCAACACTCCTTAATTCTATT